TTTTGACTTACTGACCAGAATCCAGTCCATAACAACTTTTCCCCCTCATTGCTTTTTCTACTTTTTAAAGAATGAAATTTTTCTCCACTTAAAGCAAGCCAACAATTTGCTACTTTTTTTTTTTAACTACTTTTAGGCGGTTGGGATTAAGTGACTTGCCCAGGGTCACACAGCTAGTAAGTGTCAAGTGTTTGATCTGAGGCTGGATTCGAACTCAGGTCCTCCTGACTCCAAGGCCCGAGTTCTATCCACTGCGCCACCTAGCTGCCCTACTTTGTTTTTAAAAGGCAGAGAAAATACTCTAGCAGATGTCCAAATGATTGACGTCCAGAATGACTCCTAAATCACCTCTTTCTGCTAGACTCATAATCTATTTCTTGCATTTTTCATCTATTTCTTCCTTTTGTCCTGTTGTTAGAAGGCAGATGCAGGCTGGACCCAGTGCATGAGGCTTGTTACTGCGAGGAGAAGTAGGGCTTCCTTCTAACAGTTATGGAGCATGGATTTCCTGGGACTGGAGTAAAAGAGGGTCAGGAAATATGGATCATTCACAGGTAGTTGTTTTGTTTTTTTTTAAGGCAATTGGGGATAAGTGACTTGCCCAGGGTCACACAGCTAGTAAGTGTCTGAGGTCAGATTTGAACTCATGTCCTCCAGACTCCGGAGCTGGTGCTTTATCCAACTGTGCCACCTAGCTGCCCCAGTAATTCACTTTTGAATTGTTGGCTTCTGACCCTACCACATGCTTGAACATGCTCTCCCAAAAATTGCCAGTGGTCTTTTCACTGCTAAGTCTGATGACCTTTTCTTTATGTGACTTCGTCCTTAACTACTACCACTTTTGACATGATCAGCTCTCTCCATCCTGTTTTTTGTGACATTGTTCTCTCCTTGTCCTCCTCCTACCTCTCTGACTATCCCCTTCAGTCCCTTTTGCTGCATCATTAACTCCCTCCGATCAGGGAGGCTGTCCTGGGACCCTTTTTTCTTTTCCCTCTAGACCCCCTCTTGTGATGATTTCATCAAATCCTGTGGATTCAATTATCATCCTTACGCAAATAACTCCCAGACTATTTGGCACTTAAAGCCCGTCTTAATCTGGATCTAGATTACCTTCCCAGATTTATTTCACATTCCTCCCCTTCAGGTACTACATAGTATGTCCAGCCAAATGGCATTATTTGCTGTCCCTTGAACTTGGCATTCCATCTCCTTTCTTCCTGCCTCTGTCTTAGCCATTCCTTATGCCTCAAATACACTTCATCCTCACCCCAGTTGGGTGTAAACTCCTATAACTTTGGTTCTTGCATCTCTCTGTCCTGTAGCATCTCCTTTTTTTTTTTTTTTTTACATTTTTTTTCTTTTTTGGGCAATTGGGGTTAAGTGACACTTGCCCAGGGTCACACAGCTAGTACGTGTCAAGTGTTTGGTCTGAGGCCGGATTTGAACTCGGGTCCTCCTGACTTCAGGGCCGGTGCTCTATCCACTGTGCCGCCTAGCTGCCCCATGTAGCCTCTTGTACATAAGTCCGGAATAGGAATGGGATGGGCCTATGATTTCATTGACTTAGGAAGCTCTTGGTGAAGGATTTCCTCTAGTAATATGGATTGGCACCTTCTCTGCAGTTTATAGTCTTAGAGAGTGTCTGATGGGTTAAGTGATTTGCCCAGGGTCACACAGCCAGTACATGTTAGAGGCAAGATTTGAACCCAGGCCTTTCTGGGTATAGAGTCAAGCTTTATATCTACTTCGAATTGAATTTTGACTCTTGAGTGCTGTGCTATTTCCATTGTCCTAGCTGCTGCTCCATTGGTTCCCTAATATTCTGACTGCTCTTTTGCCTTTTCCTCAATTTTTCAATTTTACTGAAACCATATTTTTCCTTTTGCCTAAGCTTTTGATTAATTCCTCTTTCCTTATTATTGATAATTTTAATTAGATGGTTTTCAATTGAGTAAAATACTTTGGGTTATAATTTTTTAATGTTATACCAAATGAGGTTGTGTTGATTCTCAATATCTACACATTTCTGTGAGAGGTTAGTCATTGGTGATTATTAGCTTTGTCATAATAATGTTTTTGTTGTTTTGATGGAGTTTATTTTGTTTAGCAGGAAATACCATTGTTCACAGTAAGAAGAATTTCCCCAGTGCTATGTTAGTGACTTAATAGAATGCCCTGAGCACAAGCAAGCTGTATCTTTCTTACAGAGCAAGACCGGACCAACTGTTCTTACTTTGGAAGAAACACCTGTGTAACCTTATTCCAGTAATTAGGGAAATGCTAGCTCTGTTATTTCTCCAAAGTGCATGCTGTGTGTTTTCAGTAATAGGTAGAATTTTACTCCCACACTCCAAAATACAAATTTTTGTTTATTTCAATACATCATGTTACATTAAAGTTTGATTGAAAAATTGCTCATCTAAAGTCATTAAGATAAGAATGAGAAATCTTTGGAGACAAGTGATTGTGAAACATCTGTTCACAAATATAGGACAGAATCACTTCATTGAGGCAAAAGTTAGAGAGAGGGCTAAAGTAAGATGGCAAGAGGCATATTTTATTCCCAGGCAAGAAAATCTAGATGAAAAAACTATAATCTCAGCATCTCAAGGGATCTTGGAGGCCATCCAATCCAATCAGAACCTGAACAAGAATTATCTCCTGGACATATTCCACAAATCTTCCTCTAGCCTCTTCTTGAAGACTTCTAGTGGTGAGGAGCTCACTACCTCCTGAGGCAGCCCATTTAGAATTTGGATAGCTTTGTCACTTTTTTTTTCTTATATTGAGCTGAAATTTGCCTCTTCACAGTTCTGTCTCTTGTGGTCAAGCAAAACAAGTATTCTTCTTTGACAAGACAGTCCTCTATTTGAAAGCAGCTCTTTGTCTTCTCTTCTGGTTAAACACTGCTAATTCTTTCAAACCCCTTAGTATGATTTCAAGTTCCCTCACCATCCTGGTTACCTTTTTTTTTTGGTGGGGTGAGAACCCCAGCAGCATAATATGCATCCTAAGGGCTAAGATTCATTTTCATTTTTGTATATGCATTTCCTGGCACATAGTAGATGCTAAATAAGTAGATGCCTGTTAATTGATCTGTTGATTGGTAATCAATTAAAAATCCTAGGTCTTTTTCACACAAACTGTCATCTAGTCATGCCTTCTTAATTCTGTACTTTGTGCTCTTGGTTTTTTGAATCCAAATTTGGCACTTTGCACCTTTCCCTTTTAGCTTTCCCCTTCTTAGATTCAGCCCATTATTCTAGCCAAATGAGATCTTCCCAGATGTCAGTTCTGTCAGCCAATATGTGTCCCAGCTTTGTGCCATCTGCAAACTTGATAACTGCACCATTTATGATTTCATCCAAATCTTTAATAAAAATGTGAAAGTAATAACAATGGAAAAAAAACTCTTGGGGTATGGTTGTTCAGATAGTTTTGAATCCACCTAACTAGATTAACATCTAACCCATATTTTCCCATTTTGCCTGAAAAAATAACCCGTAGACTTGTAAAATACTCTGCTGAATTCTATGGTTGTACCAATATAGTGATTATCAAAAAAGGAAGTGAGGTTAGTCGGACTTTTTGTTGATCAGTCCAAGCTGGTTCATAGTGATTACTGCTTTACTTTAGGGGCTCACAAATCATCCCTTTAATAATGAATATGAGACAACCAGAGAAAGAACTATGGAGTCTGAATGCAAATCAAAGCATACTCTTTTCTCTTTGTTTTGTTTGTTTTTTTTCTTTCTTGTGGTTTTTTCCCTTTTGTTCCGATTCTTCTTTCACAACATGACTAATGTGGAAATATGTTTAATATGATTGTACATGTATAGCCTATATCAGATCACATGCTGTCTTGGGGAAGGGGGAGGGGAGGGAGGGAGAAAAAAATTTGGAACTCACAATCTAATAGAAATGAATGTTGAAAACCATCTTTACATGTAATTGGAAAGAATAAAATACTGTTAAGTGGAAAAAAAATAATGAATGTGAGAATTTTATCCAGAGTTAAAGAATCATCTTGATCTCATTAGATTTATATTTATATGTGTAACCAACTGTTTTTTTTTTCCCTTTCAACAACAAGAAACATTTATTAAGCACTTACCATGTGCCAGGCACTATGTTAAGCACTGAGGATACAAAGAGAGACAAAATCACAGTCCCGGCCCTCAAGGAGCATATATTCTAGTGGTGGAAATAACAGATAAATAGCTGTGTTCATACAAGGCATATAATGAGATGGAAGACCAGGAAAGGCTTCTGCAGAAAGGAATTTGAGCTGAGTCTTGAAGGAAGTCAGAGAAACAGAGACAGAGGAGACCCAACCTGGGGAATAGCCAGTGAAAAGGAGATCAAGTGTTGTATTTGAGGAAGAAGAACATCAAGTAGTCCAGCACTGTTGGAGCAAAATAAAGTACTTGGGGGGAGTAGAGTGTGAAATGACTGGAAAAGTTCGGGTCCTCTAGTATGAAAACAGGAAATGGGCAGGACAGAATAGCTGAGCTCACTGAGGAAGGGAGGGTGTCATGGAGCTTGAGAGATAACAACCATCAGCATCTGCATTGCTGCCTGACACTTTTCAGTGTCTTTTTTTTTTTTGTATATTACATTTTTTCCCAAGATTCTTTTTTTTTTGTTTGCACAAGATGAGCAAGTATAGAAATAACTCCAGCAGATGCAATATCTTCTCATTAATATTCATAGCAATATAAAAAGGCTTCTCCAGAAATATTAGTTTTCTTCATAATAACTATAACAAATACTTATCCATTTGCCTACTATGGGTTGGCCAATATACTAGGCTTTGCAAATTAAAAGGAGGGACACAGTCCACAGGGTGCTGATTGGGGGTGTGGCAGGGAATAAACACTTGTAATATCTTTAAACCAGGTGTGTTCCTTGTTTTTGTTTGTTTGTTTGTTTTTTTCATTTAAGCTAAAAAAATAAAAACCAAAGAACCAAAACTTTATTTTTAAAATCTAATTTAGATGCCTCATCGAGAAAAAGAAGCTTCAAAGAAAGAAGTCATTCTTTTGGCAAAGATGAAACATCCAAATATTGTAAAATTCTTCACGTCTCTTCAAGGTTTGTTTTTTTTTTTCTCAGATTTATAGGTGCATATATATTGTGTTGTTTAGGCAGCAGTTCCTGAAAGCTGTGACTAAATCAAGTTTTTATAAGTTGAATAATTTCTCCCATTCACCTTACATTTCAAGGGCTACTTTATCTTAGTTTCTGATTTATTGAACTTCAGTTGGCAATGGTTCCTAGAATTATTTTAATTCTAAATTTCTGTGCTGCCTCCTGACTTCAGTAAGTACCAAGCACAGTGCTTTGCACACAGAAGTCACTTAATAAATGTACATTGAAAAAATTAACAAATAACCATCTGCCAAGACTGTTCCCCATGGCACAGGAGATAGATCACTGCAACTGGAGTCAGGAAGACTTAATTTCAAATCTAGCCTCAGACACTAGTTATGTGACACTTGGCAAGTCCTTAACCTTTGTCTGTCTTAGCTTCCTCATCTGTAAAATGGGGATGATAATAATAGCACTTATTTCCCACTGTTGTTGTGAGGATTAAATGACATAATTGTGAAACACTTAGCACAGTGCCTGGTACATGGTAAGCACTATATAAATATTAGCTGTCGTTATTATTAAAAGCTTAAATGTTCTATGGGATGCTATTATTTAAAGAAAATCCTATAGTGAATATTATGGAATTACTATGCTATGCATTATATTATACTGGGCAGCTAGGTGTTGCAGAGGATAAAGCATTGGGATTAGAATCAGAAAGACTCATCTTCCTGAGTTCAAATCCGGCCTTGGACACTTACTAGCTGTGTGACCCTGGGCAAGTCACTTTATCTCATTTACCTCAGTTTCCTCATCTGTAAAATAAGCTGGAGAAGGAAATGGGAAACCACTCCAGGGTCTTTGCCAAGAAAACCCCAAATGGGGTCACGAAGAGCCTCAAACGACTGAACAACAACAAAAACATAGAGTTTTTGTGAAACTCTGTCTTTAATTCAAGTAGCGGACTAGCCAGTCCATCCAGGCTGTCCTCCATGCCTAGAATACACTCCCTTACCTCTCCTCAGAATCCCTCATAATTTTCCAAGGCTGAGCTCAACTGCCACCTCCCACACATATCCAACCTTCTTTCTACTCGCTATAGCACCTTCTGCCTTGTGATGTAGGTATTTGTGTTTGTCCCACCCCTCGTCCAAGATGATAAACTCTGTGAAGTCAAAGAAAGATTGTATCCTACTCATCCTGTATATCTTTGCATCCCTCACAATGTATATAGTATGCATTCAGTAATAACAGTAACAGCTTACATTTTTAGATGGTGTGTCTCAGAAACCTTAATGTGGCCTTAAGCTCATCAGAGCTTACAAAGTGATATATCCCTTTGTACAGAAGACAAAGAATGCAAACTCATTAGAGCTTAAGATCACACTAACACTCCTGGGACATATTGTATTAGTGCGTATTTGATGAGAGCAAATTTTAAGGAGGAAAAAGAGGAAAGAAATAGAGTGAGTGATAGTAGAGCAGGAAGAGGGAAGTTGTTTAGTCATTTCAGCTTCGTGGCCCCTTTTGAGGTTTTCTTGGCAAAGATTTTGCCATTTCCTCCTCCAGCTCATTTTACAGATGAGGAATCTAAGGCAAACAGGGTGAAGTGACTTGCCCAGGGTCACACAGCTAGCAAGTGTCTGAGGCTGGATTAGAACTCAGGAAGATGAGTTTTCCTGACTCTAGGCCAGCACTCTATCCACGATGCCACCTAGCTGCCCCAAAAGGGAAGTAGAAAGGGAAAAAATGGGGGAGGAAGAAGAGGTGCTTTCCCCAGCCCACCCTCCCAGGATTTTTTGGACTAAAGAGTGGGGAACAGTGCTCCCACCTCATTCATTCACTCATATGGTGGTTAGTGAACTGGATTTAGAGTCAGAAATATGGGCTTGAATGTGAACTTGACCACTTACTTACTACCTGGGCAAGTTATCTAACCTTTTTTCAGCCTCATTTTTCCTATCTGTACAATGAGATGGTAGAGAACTAGAGAGGCAGTTAGCTACCTCTCTATTAGTTCTCCTTTTCCTTCTTCTCTTCTACCATTTTCCTTTAGGCTATATTTATTTCTATTTCATTCTTTCTCTTCCTCTTCCTGCTGTTCCTTCTGCTTGAAATTTGTTCTCACCAAATACATGCTAAATTTGAACAATCTGTTGGATGATATACAATGCTGAGCCTCTAATTAATGCAAACTTTTATTTATATTAAATACTTTTTAATATAGGGGCAATGTGATTAATTTTCTGTCCACCCTTATTCTTACATCTATATTGCTCACCCCCACTCATACATCTGTATTGGTCATCCCCATCTTTATCTATATTGCTCACCCCCAGTCATATATCTGTATCGGCAGATCATGAAAATTTGGATAACTTAAAAGTAACTCTTCTTTGGCAAAATGTTGGGGACCCTTGGCTTAAGTAGGGGTTCTTAATTTGGGATTCATGAACTTGATTTTTTAAAAAATATTTTGGTACTTATTTTTCAATATAATTGAAAATTCCTTTGTAATGACAATTACTTTATGATCCTATGTATTTTGTTTTATGCATTAAAAATATTATTCTGATAAAGGATTCACCAAACTCCCCAAGGGATCCATGCCACAAGGAAGTTAAGAAGCCCTGGACTAGAGCGAAAAGTCCAAGCTTGTTAGTCTGCTATTCAAAGCCCTCCACCATTTGGCCTCAAACCTATCATTTTCCTTGACTGTCCTTCTACCTCTCTACAGGAACTCTGAACTCTAGACATCCAAATTTCCTGGAATTTCTTGTCTCCATGTCTTTATAATGCCTTCACCCTCCTTTTTGCCTCCTAATCTTTTAAGACCCAATTTAAATGCTACATTTTCCATCCTGGCCTAAAACATTATCTTTTCTGAATTTCTGCAGCACTTTCTGCCCATTTTGAGGCAGAGTACATGGTAGATGGATGGTTGGACTTGAAATTGCCAGACATGCATTTGAATCCTACCTCCTACAACTTACTAGCTCTGTGACTTCCTGCAAGTTACTTACCTACTCAATCTTAGTTTTTTTAGCTGTAAAATTGGAATGATGAAAGCATCTACCTCACAAGGTTGTTGTAAGGATCACAGGAAATAATATATGTAAAGTGCTTTGTAAACCTTAAAATCCATATAAATGTCAGCCATTATTATTATTAGCTAGATGTCACAGTGGATGGGGTGCTGGACCTGGAGTCAGGAAGACAGTTCAAATCTGACCTCAGACATTTACCACCTGTGTGACCCTGGGCAAGTCACTTAGCTTCTGTTTGTCCCAGTTTCCTCAACCACAAAATGGGGAAGATAATAGCACCCACCTTACAGAGTTGTCATGAGGATCAAATGAGATAGCATTTGGGAAAAAAAAAACAATTAAAAAAACCTCTTAGCACAGTGCCTGATACATAGGGAATGGTATGTAAATCCTTATTTCCCTTCTCTTTGTGATCTTGTGAATTTTAGCTGAACTGCTAATTTTAGTCCTGACTAGTGCAGAAGTGGTGTTATTGTGTTGCTTTTCAGTTGGTGTCAGACTCTTCCGGGGTTTTCTTGGCAAAGATACTGGAGTGGTTTGCTATTTCTTTCTCTAGCTCATTTTACAGATGAGAAAACTGAGGCAAACAAGGTCAAGTGACTTGCCCAGGGATACCCAGCTAGTAAATGTCTGAGGCCAGATTTGAACTCAGGAAAATGAATCTTTCCAACTCCAGGCCTGACTGTCTAGCTGTACCACCTAGCTGTCCCCTGAGTGTAGAAGTACCTGTATGATTAAATCACACTACTATATTTAACTTGACCCATACTCTACAATGCAGTGACACTGATTGTCTTATTGTTTCTCACACAACACTGCATCTCCTGACTTTGTACCTTTCCATTGACTGTTCTCCATGCCTGGGATGTTTTCCCTCTTTGTCTCTGCCTCGTGGCTTCCTTTAAGATTCAGCTCAACTCCCACTTTTTGTAAGAGGCCTTTCCTAGTGTTCTCTATTACTAATGCTTTTCTTCTGAAATTTTCCAATCCATCTTCTCAAGCCCGAGTTAGATATCACAGCCACCCTGTTTTCTCAAGCTGGTAATGACATACCCCTCAGAGCTCACATAAAACTTTTTTAAAATTCTCTAATGCAATTATCATTTAATAGGATTAGGGACTGGACTTGTGATTTCAGTGGTATTGGGAACTCATGGATGAAGAGACCCATTTTCCATCAATGCAGGTTGGCACCTTCTGAGTTGTTCAGGTTCACACAGCCAGTCCATGTCAAATCTAGATCTTCCTGGGTTTCAAAATAAACTCAATGTTTATGATACCATACTGCTTCTCATGATTTAATATTGTATATTATACCTTTCTGTGTTGCTATCACATTCAATTATATTCTAAATTCCTCTACCAAATTATAAGTTCTTTGAAAGTGGGAACTGTATCATCTAAGCTTTGTATCTCCCCTTGCACCTAGCACCTAGCACAGGGCTCTGAATAAACAAGGTACTTAAAGAACATTTGTTTTTCTGAGAGACAGACAGACAGACAGACAGAGGCAGGGAGACAGAGGCAGGGAGACAGAGAGAGAGAGACAGAGAGAGAGAGACAGAGAGAGAGAGAGAGAGAGAGAGAGAGAGAGAGAGAGAGAGAGAGAAAGCACAGAAATTTCTCCATATCTCTCCAATTTAGTGCTTGTGCAATAACTTTTTTTGGGGGGGAGGGGGGACCTAAGCATAGGAATTTTTGTAAATCCCTTTTAAAATTTAATTTTATTAGATTTGGCTTATTATTCTAGACTATTGAGATCTTTTTGGATTCCTATTCTTTACTGGCTGTATTAGCTATCCCTCCCAGCTTTCACATTGTCTGCAAATCTGATGCACATACTAAATATCAATTTCTCTCACTTATCCATTCCTGAAGTAAGCCCAACTGTTATTTATGCATATGCTACTAAAATCAGGCTGTTCACCTGATGGGAGCTATCATGATGGAAGCACAGTACCTGGGAAGAAATAACAAGCCTCCTATAGAGGACTTACCCCTAATCTCAACCTTTGTTCAATGATAGGAGCATAACTTTTTTTTGCAAATGCAGGAAAAAAATGATAAAAGGGCATCATGAATATAATTACAGACCCTCTACTACAGTATTCCTGAAATACCTCATTATGATATAGAGGTGGCCTGATTTCTGGAAGGTTCTCTCAGCAACCTCATGCTCTGACAATTCTCACCAATGCAGAAAGGTTTTGAATATGGGCTCAGTGATGGACTGTATGCCTATTAGATTTAAGGATCAACTTAGCCAAGTTCATAGAAGCTGAGCACTACAAGGTTGGTTAAAAGGTGTCAGAGATTTTTGGCCAAAACCATTCATTAAACCTTCTAACAAGGCAAAGAGTGATTTTGAGCTAAACCAGTACAGGGAGTACACACACTAATTCACTAATTCACTTTTCTTGAAGTATTAACAAATGATGTTTATTCATTTTAAAAATGGGAGGTGCATCTTAGGTATTTTTAATAAATTATTTTGGGTAGTAGATTTCTAACCCATTAAATGGGAGGATATTTTAATTACACGTTAGAATACTTTACCTTTAAAATTTAATACATGTAGGAAAGTCATTCCAGTAAATAAAATAATACCCCTTTTTTCTTATAGAGATGAATAAATTATACATTGTTATGGAATATTGTGACGGAGGAGATCTTATGAAGAGGATCAGTAGGCAACATGGAGTGCTCTTTGATGAGGACCAGGTAAAGGATTCTAATTAGTATTGTAGTAGATATGTTACCAGCAGCTAGTATCTGAAAAAGAAAGAAAAAAAGAGATTTGCTTTTATTATCCCAAAACTGGATTATTGTGCATGTCATTTGTGGGTAACTCCTCCAACTAGAATGCAATGAGTTAGTCAGTGTTCTGGACAAATACAATTTGACCAAGAATACATTCATAGTTCTGGCTACAGGGACTCTCCCATTGAAAATGGATTCATATTGAGTAAAAGAGTGTGAACATTCTCACATCCATCCTCCCCTTCCCCTGCCCAAGTCTGTATGTGCTATTAAGATAAATATTTACTTCCTTTTAAAAACCCGAATCTGGAAGCATTTAAAAACAACATTATAAATAACATATTAACCTCTTGACTTTTCCCATGGGAAAATAATAGCTATGCAGCTTTGCTTAATGAGGGGGAAAAACCCTCTTCTCAGAAAATGTCATTTTAGTTTCCCTGTTTATTAAGAGAAGAGAGAGAAAGAGAGAGAGTGAAAAATAATGGCCTCTTTTCTCATCTCCACTCTTTGCAACCACATATTTTTAATAGATACAGAGCTTTTGTTGAAGTCCTTTGGGGACCTCTGGTCATGGAAAAGATATGTGCCTCCGTGGAGAGGCGTAAGAATCGGGGTCAGAATGATGGATGCTTAATGTTCTGGATTAAAGCACTCCACAATAATGTTATCTTCGTCTTTCCTGAGGTCTTTTTGTTACATTTTGCAATTTAAGGCCATCATGATCTCATACGTTGCCTCTAGTGTTGTTGTTAAATATTTCAAATATGAATAAGCAATCCATACATCTCACGCCGTTGTGAATTTATTCAAGTATTCTTCCTGTGCTCTTGCAGGAGCATATTATTTCTGGATTTATGGAAAACGTGTCTCCTCTTCTCCTCTGTGTGCTATTTCTCCTATATTTATATAACTGCCCTTTGCTGTTAAAGTTTGGGCTACATTTCGTCTTGATAAAAGAGCCTTCAGAATTACAATTTAACATTTCGTCTCTGGAGCATACCTGCATGTATTTCCCTCTTTTTCCTGTATTTAATACGACAAAGTAACAAACATGCTTGTGAGTTAGTAAAATTTGACTGTCATCTCTGTAGACATGGAGTACATACTGAAAAGGACTCTGGATTTTATGGAAAGAAATTGACAAAAAAAAAAGCAAAATGAGGTGTTAAAAGTAAGATAAAATCAGATTCTAAAAACTTCTGTTCTTATTCTCCATATTTTCTCTTACTCCAAAAGGAAACACAACTGAGAAGGAAGACAGTTATCAGGAAAAAGAAAATAAAAGTGTGGTGCCCAGGGCATTATTAGCATTCAAATGTTCAGTGAGAAGCACAAAATTAGGAACAGCCTCAGTCACTTTGCTTCTAACCATTTATCTTTTAATTATATTGAATTCTCATTGACTTAAAGGGCACAGTGTACAGAGAGCTGGACCTGGAGTTAAAAAGACTTGAATTCAAACCCATCCTCAGACACTTACTAGCTATAGGACTCTGGGCAAGTCACTTAACCTCTTTCTGCCTCAGTTTCCTCATCTGTAAAATGAGGGTAATAAAGGGTTGTTGTGGGGATCAAATGAGATAACAATTGTAAAGCACTTAATACAGTGTCCAGTATATAGTGCTATATAGATGTTAGTCACTGATGATGATGATAATGATGATGATGAACTTCTCGGGCAAAGCTATGTGGCCCTTGTTAGAAAATGAATAGAATTAAAGATGAAAGTGATTACTTATATAAATGTATTTGATATTTACAGAGGATATCCATGTAATTTACTTTGTTTTTGCATCTTGTCACTGGGACATTTCACTGAAATTGCAAGTGTCAGATTGACAGAGTAACTTCTGTTTCATTGTAGATTCTGGGTTGGTTTGTGCAGATCTCTCTGGGATTGAAACATATTCATGATAGGAAGATCTTACACAGAGACATAAAAACACAGGTAAATAACCCAGGGAAGGTCACCAATAAAAATGGAATCGTTTTCTTGACTTAACTCATATACCTTTTTCTTTGTTTATAGAACATTTTTCTTAGCAATAATGAGATGGTTGCAAAACTTGGGGACTTTGGCATAGCAAGAGTATTGAACAAGTAAGTAGCTTTTAAATACAATTCTTTCCACCCAAAATGGTCAAAATATATGTGTTTAGGCAAGAAAGCTACCTACATTGTCTAATATTTTTAGGTAAATATTTAGATATAGACTCTAAGGTGGCAATTGGTACACTGAGGTACACCAAACAAATACATTGGAAGGGAAGGAAGGAAGGAAAGGAAAGAAAAAAGAAAGAAAGGAAAAAAGAAAGAATGAAAGGAAGGAAAAGGAGGAAGGAAGAAAGAAAAGAAACAAAACAAGAAAGAACCCTTTTATCATATAAGCATAGTCAAGCAAAAGAAATTCCCACATTGACCACATCCAGAAATACATTTCTCTGTCTACATTAGTCCATCATCTGTTTGTCATGAAATGTTCTGTTTCATCAGTCCTATGGAGTCATTGTTGATCATTTCATTGATTAGAGTTCTTTCTTTTAGAATTGATGTAATAGTTTAAATTGTTCTCCTGGTTCTGCTTATTTCACTCTACATCAGTTCATATAAGACTCCCAGGTGTCTCTCAAATCATCTCTTCATTTCTTATAACACAGTAGTATTCCATTACCTTCATATACCATAATTTGTCAAGCCATTCCTTAATTGATGGATACTCCCTTAGCTTTCCAGTTCTTTGTCACTACACAAAGAACTGCTATAAAGGTTTTTTTGTTTTTGTTTTTGTTTTTGCACATAGATCTTTTCCCTTTTTCTTTGACCTTCTTGGGCTATAGGCCTAATAGTGGTGTTGCTAGATCAAAGGGCACGTACAGTTTAGTAACTTTTGAGGCATAATTCCCAGTTGCTTTCCAGGATGGCTAGACCAATTCATAGCTCCACATCAATGTGCCTGTTTTTCCACCGAAAATTTGTCATTTTCTTTTCTTTTTTCCCCCCAGCTTTGTCAATCTGATCAGTGGACCCTCAGAGTTGCTTTAATTTGCATTTCTCTAATTATTAGTTATTTGAAGCATCTTTTCATATGACTAGATAAATTGGGTTTCTTCCCTTGAGAAGCTCCTGTTCATATCTTTAGAATATATATTAATTGGAGAATGCAACCTCAGTTTCGATAAGAGTTGAATGAGATTTCTGTGATTTTGAGCAAGTAACTGCCCTTCTCTCTGGGGACTCAAGTTGGACTAAATCAGGGTTTCTTAACTTTTCATTGTGTCACAGACCCCTTTGGCAGTCTAATTAAACCTATGGACTCAGAATAATGTTTTAAGTGCACAAAATAAAATGCATAGGATTATGAAAGGAAATACTTTTACTGAAAAATAGTTGTTAAAATATTTTTTAAAATTCAAGGACCCCAGGTTGAAGGTTTTGAGAGGTTTGAATTCTAAACCTCCCTCAATCCCCTCCCCAAATGCATCTGTCTGTTTGCTGTAAAGATTACTATTCAAGGAGCAGCTCAGTGGTGCAATGGATAGAGCACTGACCCTAGAGTCAGGAAGACCTGAGTTCAAATCTGACCTCAGATACTTGACACTTATTAGCTGTGTGACCCTGGGCAAGTCACTCAACCCCCTTGCCTAGCCAAAAAAAAAAATTACTAGTCACTTCTTCCCTCAACCCTTCATTAGCCTTCTTGGAAGAAATAGCTAATTTTTCTTGAAAACTAAGTGCTAAGGTAGGTTTATATAGCAAGTTACATAATGGTCTCCTTCCTTTGGTTGGAGGTAAATTGGGAGTAGGCAGTCTCCCCAGCAAAACCTCTGTGGTATCTTGGAGTCTCTATCTCCTTCCATGGGGTAATATCCATTCCCAGCCTCCCCTGAGTTGCCACTTTTTTTTTTTAAGTGAGGCAATTGGGGTTAAGTGACTTGCCCAGAGTCACGCAGCTGGGAAGTATTATGTCTCTGAGGCCACATTTAAACTCAGGTGCTCCTGACTCCAGGGCCGGTGCTCTATCCACTGTGCCACCTCCTCACCTCCACTGGATTGCCTCTTGTGACACTTGCCCTGAGCAGGGTTTGTGGAGCTTGATTCAGGTGCAAACAATTCCTAGTTTCAGCTGTGACTCGGAGGTCTCTTCCAACTGAGTTTCTCTGGCTTTTTGTAAATAGTTAAAATTCAATTTAATCTAATTAATATTTATTGCATCTGCATGGTGCTTAGCACTACAAGGTGGTGGGTTGAATGGTAATCTGGAAGTAAATACATTGTCTTTGAAGAATCAGGCAGGTATATAACCATCATTTCTTCTATTCTAAACCTATAACTATGACTTGATTCTTCCAAAAGGAACTGTAGTCCTCTAGCCATGAGGAACCTGGGGAGAGGTAGGAGGCACCATGTGGTGCATGGAAATAGTGGTGAATTTGAAGGCAGAGGATCTGGGTTCAAGTCTCATCTTGGCCACTTATTTTCTGTGTGACCTTGAGTGATTCACTAACTTCTTCAGGCATTAGTAAATTCGTCATATCAAAGTTCCCTTTCAACTCTAAGTGTTCAGTCCTATGATCTGACAATAAAGCTAGTCTTTATGTAGCACTTTAAGGTTTGCAAAGCACTTTACACATGTTAACTCATTTTATCCTAACAACCCCAGGAGATGCTATTATTTTCCCCATTTTACATATGAGGAAACTGAGGCACAGAAAAGTTATGTGACGTACTCAAACACACAAGAGTCTCAGGCAGAATTTAGACTCAGTCTTTCTGACTCCATTTCCTGAGCTCCATCCAATGTTCCACCTAGCTGCCTTCAGCCTCGAAAGTTAGAGAGAAAATGATAGTCAAGAATTGTTTTCTTTTTTTTTTTCTTTTTAGGCAATTGGGGTTAAGTGACTTGCCCAGGGTTGCACAACCAGTAAGTGTCAAGTGTTTGGTCTGAGGCCAAATTTGAACTCAGGTCCTCCTGACTTCAGGGCTGGCGCTCTATCCATCGGGCCACCTAGCTGCCCCATGAATTGTTTTCTTTACTAGCTGTGTGACCCTGAGCAAGTCACTTAACCCCAATTGCCAAAAAAAAAAAAAATTGTTTTCCTTCCTTTTGTTATTTTCAAAGTAGTTTTGTTTCCTGTTCTAACAAAAAATTTTTTTTGTAATATAATGACTTCAGAATAGAATCTACTTTTCTTGTCTTCATGAGAATAAACTACTGTATTATCTTATTCAAAATATTTTTAGTACAATGGAACTTGCTCGGACATGTGTTGGGACACCTTACTATCTCTCTCCAGAGATCTGTCAGAATAAGCCCTACAACAACAAAACGTGAGTTCTTACTATCGACTGACTCATTGGAATTTAGCTGTCAAGTCTAATTTAGAGAACTCTATGGGAATTCCAGGAACTGTGTGTCATCTCAGCCACGCTGTTGATTATAGCTTTGTATCTTACTGTCTGTGTAAGATGGCTCCTTTGTAAAGATACATGAAAGGGTTGAGTCCTTTTGGAGAAAAGGTTTCATTATAGACATTACAGATCTTGCTATCATATGATGCCATATGGTAACTTTGGGAATTTTGGTCAGGGGATATAAAACTTGGCCTCTGGGATTGATACTTGTGAGTGGACTGCCCAGCAGTTACTTGCTAAAGACTCTGTTAATGCTTCTGATCAATCAATCAATAAACATTTATTAAATGCCTACCATGTCACCAGGCACTGTACTAAACTCTGGGGATGCAAAAAGAAGTGAAATTCAGTCCCTGCTGTCAGGGAGTTTATAATCTAATGGGAGAGACAACATGCAAACAAATATGTACAAAGCAAGCTATAGACAAGATAAATAGGAAGTAATTGACAGAGGGAAAGCATTAGAATTAAGAGGGGTCAGGAAAGGCTTCCAGTAAAAAGAGGGATTTTAGTTGGGATTTAAAGAAAATCAAGTCAGTCTACAGAGTAGAAATATTGAGCTGTGTCTGATCAACTCACATAGAGGGGAGTGACCTTGTCATTGTACGCATTGAACACACCACCTATTTAATAATGATAATAATAATGATAATAATAATAATAATAATAATAATAACAACAGCTGGCATTAGATAGAGTTTTGAGGTTTGTAAAGCAATTTACAAATTTTATTTGATTCTCATAGCACCCTTGAGAGGTAGATGCTATTATTATCACCATTTTAAAAATGAGGAAACCAAGGCATGCAAAGGGCTAAATGACTTGCTCAAGGCAGTTTCCCCCCACACGACAAGTCATTGCCTGTTCTAGGATGATAGTACTTGTTTTGTGATGGTGTCCTGGCATAAGGAAGTCCCTTCTGGGAGGGCATAGAGTTCCTCTTGTGATGTTTAAAAAGGTTTGAGAGACATAATTTCTGGGTAATTCGACAATGTTATTAATGATGCCAGAATTTTAATAAAAGGATGATCATTTGGCTCTCTCTTAGACCAAAGACAATCATGGTGGGGGAGGGGCTCATGGCTTATATGCCCTTTTGGAAAAGGAGCGTTCCTGTAGGTGGCAACCAAGTCTGATTGGTTAACAGTTTAATGAGAGGTGAACTTTACAGAGACAAGTGAGGTTACTCTAATGAGGGTCTGAGAGTGACATCATGTCACTCTTGGACAGAGACTGTCCCCATATCCAGACCACGCCCAGTCTTGGGCAATCTAGACAAAGAATCTATATCCCTCACCCAAGCCTGAGCTTGTTTGGTGGAGAAGCAATCCTCAGAATGAGGAGAATGTTAATCCAATCTTCCATCAGCCCTGTCCTTGAGAGATAGGACGGGGAAAAAAGCTTGGGTCTTCACAATTTTAATAATTGGCTATTAATATGAGAGAAATAATGATTTCTCTCACTCTGTTGACCCTTGCTTTCTATAGCTGGACTTATAGTGCCCTATGTAGGTGCAGCTGTGAATAGGTTAATCAAGGTTAGGGAACCTGCGGCCTTGGGGCCATATGTGGCCTTCTAGATCCTTAAGTGTGGCTTTTTGACTGAAAATTTGGATTGGTCAAAAGGCTGCACTTAAGGATCTAGAAGGTCACATGAGGCCTCAGGTAAAGAAAGAAAAAGAAAGAGAGGTAGGAGAGGAAGGAAGAGGGGGAGGGAGAAAGAGAGAAAAAGAGAGAGAGAGAATGAAAAAATGAAAAAAGGAAGGAAGGAAGAAGGAAAGAAAGAAAGAAAAAGAAAAGGAAAAAAATCAGTACAACTGATTAATATACTGAAAAAGTCTGAAAACATGCTCATGGCAGTTCCTCTACAGATTGATCTGTTTCTTTTTCTGAGATTGGGTTATTTAAGATCTCTATCTGTTCTTCTGATAGTTCGAGTATTTTATAATCTGAAGATATTTCTCCATTTCTTTTGTGCTCTCAGTTTTAATAGAACATAATTGTTCATAATACATGCACACAGTTATATGTGTGACTTCTTTTTATTTCTTCTGGTTTTGTTGTGATGTCACCTTGATCACTTGCTATTTTATCAATTTGATTTTCTCCCTTCTTTTTAATCAGATTAGCTAATGTTTTTAATCAATTTTGTTAGTCTTTCCAAAGAATCAACTATGCTTTTTCTTTATGATTTCTGTGTTATTTTTTTGTTTTCAATTTATTTATATCTCTTCTAATTTTAATATAGCCTCTTTTGTGCAATTTTAGGCTTGTTTATTTATTTGTTGGTTTTCTAATTTTAAAAAATATCTAAAAAATTTTTTTAAATTTTCTAATTTAAAAAATATTCCGCTCATGAATCCTCTTTTTTCCCCTATTTTGTTAATATATATTTGTAGGGACATTCTAGAACAATTATGATTTGCTTTGACTATATAGATAGCCCTACTGTCATACTGCCTTACTGTTACCTTAGGACTAAAGAGAACATTGTAGCCCAGTCTATACTTTTGAATAATCTCAGTATTCCTCTACGCTTGTGAAAACTGAAAACTAAAATTAGCTAGACTAGAGTACTGGACTTTGACTCAGGAAAACCTGAAAGCTCAAATACTGCCTTAGGCATTTACTATCTGTATGAACCTAGGCAAGTCACTTTGTAGACTGCAGATTCTGCTATTCTATGATGGAGTGTGGAAACTTGGAGAATTTTGGTCCTGAAATGTAAACCTCTGCCTCAGTTTCCTCATCCGTAAAATGTTGGGGTTGGACTCTATGGTATCCACAGTTCCTTCCACCTGTATCAAAAGCGGGCTAACTCCCAACGTGCTATGGGTAGTTGTTGCTTTGTTTTTAAAAATAATTTCTCAAAATATGTTGTCTGGGTTCTTTTTCTTGGCTGTGGCTTTTGGGTTACCCAATGATTCTTAAGTTTTTTCACATAAAAATTATTTCACATAAGGATCATGGGTGGGATTCAAACCCAGTGTCTTTAACTCTAGAGTCAGTCAGTGTTCTTTCTATCATGCTGTTTTCTACATAGTTTGAAAATACTGAAGGACCCACACTTACATTTCAATAAAGGCCACATTAGCAACTCTGGCTTGGGTTTAGACCTCTCATTTCACAATCA